CGGGACCGGGCGCCGGAGGGTTAGGAAGGTGGTGAGGGTGGGACACGGGAAGGGTGCAGCCGACACCCATGGGCTTACCCGGCCGTTCTCTAGGGCTTTCTGGCTCCTCAGGGGTAAGTGAGAGCGACGCTCAGTGCCTGCTCGCGTCTTCCTCCGTCATAACTGCGCGTCTGGCACACCCATGGGCTTACCCGGCCGTTCTCGAGGGCTTTCTGGCTCCTCAGAGGTAAGTGAGAGCGACGCTCAGTGCCTGCTCGCGTCTTCCTCCGTCATAACTGCGCGTCTGGGTACGTCGGGCTGGAAGGTGGTCGGCAGCTAAGTAGATTTAAGAACGTTAACTCCTAACATCCGAAGTCGTTTAAACTTATTAAACGAGGATTTTGCTTATCTTTTTAAAAAATGAAATCGGTGTTTGGTACTAAAATCACAGGTCACTGTTTTCATTCAAGTTTCGTAAAAAGTCTCTTGTACTTAAAAGTATGAAGTAGGTTAAGTTGTGACTGAGATCCCAACTCGTTTATATTTTAGAGGAATGAGGTGAAATACCGGGCTATTAATCTTGGGCTTAAGTGACAATAAGGAGCAGCTTGGACCTCCTAGATATATAATCTTTTATATATTGCCAATAGTACAGTATTTTTAAGGTTAAAAATTGTGACACATTGGCTAATAACAGCAGTGACTGATTTTCTTATTGTTAAAGATAAATTTCTATAAGTGCATTCAAGTTTTTCTTTTGTTACTTTTTAGAGTAAGTTTTTTGTTGTGATTTTATTTTTGCTTTCTGAAGAGTGAGCAATGATAGTACAGTAAATGAATGGCAAGTTCTTGTTTAGTGGTTTTTTTGGTTTTGTTTTTAGCCTTCAATTAAAAATTTACGAGTCCTGGTATGGGGATGAAATATTCTGGTATGCTAAGGGGAATAGTTGACAGTTTTACTTTGCTCCCTTTCTATGACAAAGGGAAGTGAAATGTTAGGTCTATACCTTTTTTATACTTATTTCTAATATTGATTTTAAACAATACCTTGCTGGGCCAAGTAAATAAAAGAACCAGGAATGAGAATTTCAACTCTTCTTTGCTTATATTTTACTACGAAAATCATCTTAATTAAGAATATTCAGTCAACCATTTCAAAACGAAAATAATTTTGACATTTAAATCAAATGCTTCTTTTGCATATTTATTATGTTACCTTTTCAGAATAGCATATCTACATAGGTATACGGCATTTTAATAATACACAGTTGTTCTTAGTTGAACTCCTTAGTTTCAGGGAGAGAGGAACAAAAGACCTCCCAAATTAAATACGAAATGGCTATAGTATAAGTCGGTTGCATTTTCTTGAACTACGGTATAGAATTGTTTTGAGGAATCATTTTACCTTTTCACCAAACAATATGAGTATGTATGGTGTATATTTTTAATAATAAAGCAGAATTAATGACTCTGTCCTTGTCACTTCCTGTGCAAACTTGGTTTGCAGAGAGAATCCTAACAGATTTCTGCTAGTTGAATGAAGACAAGGAGAAAAAACAAAATCTCCAGAAAAGAAATAACGGCCTTCTCCCAGCAAGTAAAAATTAAAAGCAGTCATATTTTGTTCAGAAGACATACATGAAGTAAAAGCCAAAATCCTTACAATGATCTTCAAGGCTCTACTTGATTGGTAGAGGTCTCAATCTCATGTACTATTCTATCCCATGATCACTCTTGCTTAAGCCAACCTGACCTCTTTATTACTCCATCAAGCATACTCTTGCCTCCTGGACTTTGCATTTATTCTTCCCTCTGCCTGAAATGCTTTTCCCCTAGACAGCCTCATGGCTTGTTCCTTTTCTTAATGTGTTCAAGTCACCTTATCGTTAAAGTCTTTATTCTCTCACCATTCTGTTTTAAATATGGCCATCTCTACTCCTCCACCCTGCAGTTTCCTTTGGTTCATTTTTCTTCGTGGTATGGTATTCATTACTATTTGGCTTTTCTCTCTCCCCTAGAGTTTAAACTCCTTATGAGTGCAAGGATGAGTTTGGTGTATTTTATTCACATCTGTATCCTCATTGCCTCAAGTAGTGCCTGGCAAATAATAATAAATATTTGTTGAATGAATAATACTTATAAATCTTTTCAGTTTTGTAGACTCTACCACAAAATCTTACGTATAACTTAAAATTTAGGAAAAGTTTAGTCAATAGCACCCTTACTTTAGAGAAAATATCGTATCAGTACCTTGGTGAAATTGAGAATAATGAAAAAATATTAAATGATTTCTAGATTTGGTTTCTCATATTACTCAGTTTAAATAAGACAGTGGCTGAATTGTAAGATGTCTAAACGTCTTTAAGACATTTTTACTGTGTTGTAAAATAAAGATATTTGATCATTTCACCAAATCACTAAGGCTTTGTGGTTGTTTACACCTTTAAATGTTTTTCCAAATAGATTTGCTCTATTAAAGCACTGATCAAATTGTATTTTAATTATTTTCGGGTCAGTTTCCTACATTAGACTTGTATATTCCTTGTGGTCAGGTATCAGAGACAGATATATTACCTAGAAGGGTGCCAGCTAACTAGTTGCCCCCCAAATATATTTTAACTGAAAGTGAAAGATGTTATAATACTGTTATTCTTCTGGCTTTCTTTAGGAATCAAAATTTAAGGAAACGGGTGTTATCACCCCAGAAGAGGTGAGTGTTGAAGATATTCTGAAGCCTGTATACTTTATAATTACATAAATTGGGTGGCTTTTCTGCTTTATAAAAAAACTTAATTTTGATTTGAGTAAAATTAGATTTTGTTGACTATATTAGTGATTTATAGGGATTTCTACTTCCCATAGAAGATGTTAAGTTCCCTCTCAGTTTGCTACTTCTCATATTTCTCTGTACTTCCTCTTTATTTAGAGATGAGGGTGGGGAAGGGAATGGAAAAGATTCCTGTGATCACTTATCTTTCACTCATGTTTGTGTTTATTGAGCTGTGCAGTGGGCTCTGTAGCATTTTCTGTGTTTCAGCACTGTCATACCAATTGTGAGTTTTCATGGCTTTCCATTTAGAAATTTCTGTCACTGCTTGGATATTAATAATCTCCTTAAATATTTTATTGCCACATGCTTGATACTGATTTTTTTTTTCACCATTCTTTCACTTTTTCTACTAACAAGTAATTTTGAAATTGCTTAATGCTGGAACAGCTATTTTATAGACCAGTTTTGTTTTATTGAACTTTTAACATAGAATTATGTTTTGAGGAATCATTTTACTTGTTCATCAAATCTGTATAAGAAAAGAGTTCTCTTTCATTTAGGTAGGGTTTTTTTAGTTATCCTTAGAGAAAAACTGAGCCAAAAACCTTTCAGACTACATTTTCTGAATAGTTAGGGTTGTGTCAAACTTATTTTGTTCTTAATAAAAGACAAAGAATTTATTTAAGCTTGATCTTTAACTCTCACTGAAAACAACCCTTATTGTTAATAGAACTTATTCATTGTTTTGAAAGAAACATTTTGAAATTAGCCATGTTTTATTTTTATTTTTTGTCTTTTGTCTTTTTCCGTGTCTGGCAACGGATCGCAACCCTCAGTGTTGCCCCCGTACCGGACCGGGGACCGGCAACGGGACCGCAACCCTCGGCGTTGCTCCCGCGCCTCACTCAGCCAGTGAGCGGGAACCGGTCTGTATGTGGGATCCGAACCCTCGGGCGGGAGCGCCACCATGCTTCCCAAGCGGCGCACTTATCCAGTGCGCCACCGGGCCGGCCCCTTTGCTTATTTTTTAATGAGATTATTTTTGTTGTTTGGTTGTAGGCATTTTAAAAATGCATTCTTGATGTTAATTTCTTATGAGGTAGATGACTTTCAACTTTCTTTTCTCTTTTTGGAGTTGCTAATGTAAATAGTATTGTGTTTTAAAAAAAGTTTTACTTGGTCATTGCTGGGGTATAGAAAAGTGATTGACTTTTGTATATTAATGTTGTATCCTGCAAACTTGCTGTTATCAGTAATTAATTCCAGGAGGTTTTATATTTTCTTGCTAGGATATTTTACACAGACAATCATATCATCTGCAACTAACAACAGTTTTATTTCTTTCTTTCCCAATCTGTAAATTTTTTATTTTATTTCCTTGTGTTATTACACTACCCAGTACTTTTAGAAATTAGCCATGTTTTATGATGAGGCTGCTGCTGTAATTTCCAAGACCTCAAGCCAGAGAATTAACTGATCTTTCAGTTTTCAATTGTGGAGTCTCTCTAATCCCAGTGTGTTGTGAATTCTAAGAATGGTGTGCTAAATTGATCTTTTATCTAAATTTGTCTTTATTTTTAGTGAAGACATATGGTGGGGTGGAAAGAACCTAGGAGACCAGCTTTCTAGATCCATTTCTGTAATTTCTTATAACTTTGACAAATTGGTTAAGCTAACTAGACCCAGGTCTCATGTTTCTTCATTTATAAAATGAGAAATTTGGACGAGACATCCTCTAAAGGAGGTGTTGTTCTTCCTTAGGCTTCATGAGTTTAATACCTTGAATGCCCAATAAAGCTAAGTTTTGATCTTAAGGATATCATTATCGTTCTTGCCAAATAAAGGTGTAATTTAGACATGGCTCTTTAAGTATCTGAACTCAAGAGCAGAGATGAAAATTTGCTGTTCTTTTTGTACTCTTTGGCTTTATCTCTTCTGTGCGAAGATGACTTACACAGATAGTTGGAGTTAGCGATGCAGGTCTGTGGTGTTAGATAGAATTAAGCTGTTTTAAAACAGGAATTTATGTAGAATGAATAATGATTACACTTTAATTGCATCATGAAACAATTTATGAATTTTCCCCCTTTTAAAAAAAGCCCAGGCAAAACTAGCCCAGCTGGGTACCAAGCCCATACTACTAGGTTGGGATAGAGCACAGTTACAGAATTGAGTTAAACTGGAAAAAGGCTGGAGGAAGAAAATAAGAGGGCATCATTTGCTTTGGGTAAAATATGATATTCTTAGTTGATTTGTTCATTTATTTCCTCTCTCTGTATCTGGGCTTCTGCCTGTCAGCCTCCAGCTATCTTTTTGTTTTCGTTGAGAGGTGCGGAAGTATTGTATTTAAAAAGAGGGGTGGCCAGTATCTAATAGTATTGTCTGGAAAAAAATTTGTTGTTAGATGTGTGTATGACTTGATTAAGTACAGTACTATTAATAGAGGATAGCTTGACAAATAAAGTTGCTCATCAAAATACGAATATTGATTCTATCCTGTTGGAATTCCGCATTATTTATTGACGATAAATCCCACAGGAGAATGTTTAATTACTAAGAGAAAGCTACTGCAATCAATATTGATAATTTGGAAATTTAAGTCTACATCTTACATTTTATTTCATTTGAACATATGAAGCAAACAATAACGGCCATTGTTAATGAGGGCGAATGTACACACTTACTAATTAAAGTGTACACATGTACTAATTATCAGTAAAATTCTGCATTTTTAAAGAATAGTTTTTATTACCTTCTAGTGTTTTTGTTATTTTTAAAATAGATACTGCCAGAAAGACCAGGGGATAAAATATTAGAGTCTTATCTCAAGGCAATGTAATTAAAGAATTTTTAATTTTTAATCCTTTGTTTTGCTTGCATTATGTTAAATTATTACTTTGGTAGTGATAAACTAGTTCCAGATAACAACAGAGCTAAATGGAGAATCTGGTTGCAATGACTCCAAAATGCTTAAACTTGGGGGAAAGACATTTTTTCCACTTCAGTGCTTATCTTTACTTAACCAGTTTAAATAATAAAAAGACTACTTGAAATAAAAGTATATAAATATTTATAAAGTTACTATATCTCATCTTTTAATCATCATCTTAAAAGAGGTTATTCTTATAATTCTTATATGATAGAATTTTACTCTCAATTTAATAGTATTTTATGTAGACCATACTTTCTCAGAAAGGCATTAGAAAGAAGATTAAATATATTGTAATTTTTTGCTATGTAATAAACCCATGAACAATATACGATTTTAAGTTAGAGCTGTTGTGAAATAGAAGTAATTGAGAAATATGTGCTCATGTTGCTTGAATTGGGACACTGCAGTTATGCTTAACAGACTTTCATTTTCTGCTCTCGAGAATAATCAGGATTTCTATCTCAGTAAGATCAGCTCATGTTTGCGTAAACTGGAAATTTTCAAAAGGTTAAACTGTTTCTTTCTGAGCCTGATTTTTATTTCTGAAGAAAAATAAAAACTTATACAGTGTTCAGTCTTCCCAGAAAGTCCAAGGTTTGTTAGTGGATTTCATTTCTTAATTTTATAGGTGTTTTCAGAGTCGATCCAAAAGCTTCTAACTTTTTCCCCATTATTGGACACTATATCTCTCTCTCATTAATGATTACTTTAAGAGTATGAAAAAGTTTTCAAAATTGGCAAATACTTATTTTTTTAAAAATTAAGAAAGAGGAAGGAGAAGAAATGTGCACTGTGATGTAATAAAATAGGTTTACATTTCTCTCTCATTAATGATTACTTTAAGAGTATGAAAAAGTTTTCAAAATTGGCAAATACTTATTTTTTAAAAAATTAAGAAAGAGGAAGGAGAAGAAATGTGCACTGTGATGTAATAAAATAGGTTTACATCATAGATCTGTATCTATTTAGTAATTTTTTCAAAGATTTTCATTGAGTTTTCAGTCATAAGCAAGAATCTCTCTACATTTTATTTTTCCATAAAATGGATTTTAGCATTTAAATCCTGTAGCTTTACCTTTATTAATTTCATGATGCTATGTGCTTTTGGCATTATCTAATCTAATGATAAAAATTGAATTTTTTAAAAATAGCATTCAATGTTTTTTTTCCTTTTAAAATTAATTTGAATTTTTATGTATGTTAAAAATTTTTGAAATATGATAATCAAAATAAATCTTCAGTCAGGTTTGGTGTAGTTTGCATTTAATATTCAGGATGATCATTTTGATATTTTGTCTGTGATGCTCAATTTTTCTTTTTCCTTTCTTCATATTCTTAAATAGTTTGTGGCAGCTGGAGATCACTTAGTCCATCACTGTCCAACATGGCAATGGTAAGCAATCTTGAGTGAAGAATAGAAAATTAGTAAAAGCTTTAGAATTATGGCATTTTGGAAAATACCTTAGTGCATAAAAATTACAGTGATCAATTTAGCCCTCTTTCAGTAGGTTTTTCTTTTAAACAGTGCCGCAGTGATACCCAAAGTAAAATAAAAGAAAATAGGTGTTATACCTATTTCATTATGCTCTGTTAGCACAAAAGATGGAAATATTTGAGATAAGTGCATTTACTTCCTTTCTTAGTATTTCCTTCCTTTACAGTGTCTAGGTCTAATCTTGTGTTTCTTTAAAAAATAGTGTTCAATAGTAATAAATTTGATCAACTGATTTATTTTCATGTTAAATATTTATTGAAAAATGTTTATGACATTAATAAATGCAGAGATTGTGCAGAGTTTTAGGTTCTTTAAAATATAAGACATGAACAAAGATCCAAAAGTATGCTTCCTCTTTAGAAATCAGCTACAGTTAAAAGGTTCATGATACTGCTCATAACAGAGTTTAAATTTTTTTTCTTTAACTTTTCTTTTAATTACAAATTTAAACAATTTAGTAGTTCTTACAACATATATTTTTAAATATTCTGAATAATAACAATTTTTTAAAACAAATGCAGTTTCATGGCTTTCAAGTATTTGTGGTAACTCCTTGACAGCTGCTGAAACAGAAATAATTTAGGGTAGTATTGTTTCAAATTATCACCTGTTTTGGATGTAGGTGCTTCAATTTGTTGTATCCACTTTTTTTTTTTTTCCTAATGGCATTTCTTAAATTGTAGTTGAAAGGTACAGTTTTGATTGGGGGCAGGGGTTCTAGAATTAACAAGGTTCTAATTGATATTATTCTTCTTAATAACTAAAGAGCTTAAATAAACTATTTTAAACCAAAGTTGGAACTTTCTTTCATCTGTGGCCTATTTTATTTTTCTTCATTTTTATATTTAACATTTTCCTGAAACAGTTGTCATTGCTTTTTATCGATTGACCTTTATCTTTTAGGGCATCATTTCTTATGTACCAAGAAAGGTCAAAATATCAGGTTCATTAATTTTTATGTATTTTTCTTTTCTACATGTATTTCTGTTCCAAATTTAAAGTTGTATTCACATCAAAGAAGCGCACTGGTTTAGTAAGGGTGTTTTTTTCCCCGCTATGCTAAATTTTCTGTTAAAAATATATTTAACTAGATTCTGGTCTATAATTCATATTTCAAGCCAAATAGGCATATAAAATTTAACATACTTATTTTGTGGGGAAAAAAAACATTTAGGATTTTCTTCAGTATGATAGATATGCTTTTTTTGTTGTTGAGATTTCATGGTAGTAACCCTTAATTGTCTAAATAGTTTAGTTATCTGGTTTGTAGCATCGTTATAGTGGTCTGTATATATGAACTGGATCTTCTTTTAGCAGGTACTGGTAGTTTATAGTTCCAGTTTATGAATTATGACAGTTAAAGTAATTTTATTGTAACTCAGAACTCAATTATGCTCCCACTCCATTGTCCACATTTCTGGCTGAATTGCTGGGGCCAAAAGAGCAATTAATTTTAAATCAGTGCTGGAAACGTTACTTTGACACTAATGCCTTTGTGTGCACAAGTGCTATCATGAACTTATTTTAATTTATTTTCTCAGAACTTCAAGCATTGCAATGACATCGTTGAATTTGACATTGGTACTAGTCGAAAGAAGACTAGAAGGCTGTGGAATGACATGAGGGCATTTCCTGACTTTATCTTGATTCAAATTTGTAGTTTGAACTTTAGACTGAAGCTTGAAAAGGCAGCAGAACTCCAAATTTATGCTCATATGTTTGTGACAAACACCATATACCACCCCAGCTCTGGCCAATTCCAGTAGATGACCCGTAGAAGAATCTTTGAACAAATATATGAGTGCTGTCAGAGTAACTCAGAAATGTTAGCAGTGGCTCTGACCCACAGAGGGAGTAGCTTTTGAAAGTAGGAGCCCTGGAATCACTTGGCTTGATCCTGGTTCTTCCACCTTTTGCTTTTGCAACTGTGAGCAACCTGACCTCTTAAGCTTTAATTAGTTTACTTACCTACAAAATCTTAATACAATATTACGTACCTCTTAGAGTTGTTAGGATTAATCGTTAGAGTTCTAAGTCCTATACTTAATAAGCCCTCCATAAAAAGGCTTTTTTGGTTTGTTTTCAAGCATTATTGTTTTCAATATTATTATCTTGTAATTCAAAGCATCTTTTGTCTCTTAGTTCCTATTTTAATGTAGTGGTAGGAGTACAGATCTTGCCAACCACCTACTTTGTTATGTAATGTTATTTGGTTTTTTTTTTTTTCTGCCTCTTCTTGGTCTCAAGATGAGTAGTACTTTAGGATTAAAATCTGAGAGATTATACAGAAGCATTTTCTTTTTGTCTAGAGCAAACATAATAGTTGCTTAATAATTTTATATTATCCTACCTTTTTTGTTTCATATTTAATCCAAATTCTCTTAGGTCTATCTGCATCTCTTAGTATATTTCATTTATATTATTGTTGTGCTTTTTTATGCCCTGACAAACATCACTTAATGGCATCCTTCCCAAACCAGTCCTAAAATAATTTTCTCATGGCTGTGGATTTTGTAGTTTTAAGATGTACATGTGATATCTTTTGTTTCGTATTCGTCTTTTAAAATATATTTTGTATTTTGGTGCTTTTCACTGTTTTTCAAGGGCTACAGGGGAAGAATTGAAAGTGAAGGCATACCTACCAACAGGCAAACAATTTTTGGTAACCAAAAATGGTAAGAATTATGTTGTATATATACATTAGTAAATTTTGCAGTTATATTTAAAACAACAATAAAAAACCCTTAGCACTTACTGATCCTAATTCATACTTAAAACTGTACTTACAGCTTCTCTCAGACAGAAATTTGGAAATTTAATCAAGCTCTGGGTTTTTTATTGCTGTAGTGTTTTTTCCTTAGTTGATTTTTATCTCCTCTTCCTTTTTGTTATTTATTTTTACCAAAAAAGTTATAGTTGTCAAGATACGAAGGAAGAGGGCCCTGAGGAAAGTCGGACTTCTTCTAATTGGATTTTTTTGAAGTTCACTTCATAATCATAATTTTTTTAGCTATTTGATTTTAATCTTTAAACTTAAATTTTTCATTGGAAATGAAGTTGATACTAAAAAGCTCAAAGCTAAAGATTTTATTATCCATTGTGCCATTGAAGGATTGCCTGTAGATACCAAACAGTGTTTTGAAACGGGTAGTATTGTGTTTATGAAGTTAACTTAAAACCATCATCAGAAGGTTCTTATAGTCCCTAAATCATCACATAACTGTACAGTGATTTCTGATCTAATTTACCCAGTAGAGGAAAGGGAAAATAACATGTACAGAGCAGTAGATTTTTCTTTTCAACAGCATATTTTTTATTAGGATTGATAATTTATATTCTGATTGTTTAAAAAAAAGTCAGGAGATTAATAGTAATTTGCTGACCCTGCATAATGTTTTTACCTTATAGTTTTCAATTTCAGGATTATGAATAATACCTGTTCATTGACACATTTGCTATATGCAGAACTTGGCACCAGTGTTGTGTAAGGCAGTAAAATTTAGCAGTTTGGTGAATTTTAAACTGTTTTATCCATTGTGAATAATTGGAACTCAAATATGAATTACGAAATTTATATCGAAAGTTTCTTTAGCCTTGTAAATCAGAGGTCACCTTTACTGCAGGTAGTAGTATGACAGATGGTACCTCCATGTTTTCAAAGTAAAGCCAATATAATAAGGTGTTATTATTCACTGCTGGAATTGAACAGTTCATCGCTGGCTTCAGCCTACTGCTCCTCACAGACCATCATGGTAAAGGAATACGTAGAGTACTCCCACAGAGCCTTTCTACTTGTCTTCTGACAAAGCAATTTTGGGAAAGATAAATGTGCTCAAATTATTATGTGTTTGTAGGCTGAATGTAACTCTTAAATTAATTACTTTCATTAGAAGTGAAATATAATACTTAATATTTTGCTGGTTTACATATCATATGTTATGGAATAAACTTTTTCTTCTTCCTAATGGATTTATGGTTAGAAGATTATGTACTGGTAACTGTATTTGCCTTTTTTTAAAAGTGCCGTGCTACAAGCGGTGCAAACAGATGGAATATTCAGATGAATTGGAAGCTATCATTGAAGAAGATGATGGTGATGGGGGATGGGTAGATACATATCACAACACAGGTAAGAGGAGAACAGAATGGCATATATTTAGTTTAAATTGTTTTAAACTCTTTCACAATCTTTTATAAAGCCTTGATTTTAAAAAAAGAGGATACATAGGCACAGTTTTGTCCCAGCAGACTTTTATCCGAAAGAAACTGGAGGACAAATTGGAAAAAAAGATAAAAAAAAAAAAGCCCGTGGAGAATACCAAATTTCTATAGCACTTGCTGCTTCAGTTGCAATTTAAAATATCTTTATTATTTTCTTAATTTCTAAATAAAAAGAGGAAAAAATAAAGCCAATCAGACATACTGAGTGTGCGCCCGTGGAGAATACCAAATTTCTATAGCACTTGCTGCTTCAGTTGCAATTTAAAATATCTTTATCATTTTCTTAATTTCTAAATAAAAAGAGGAAAAAATAAAGCCAATCAGACATACTGAGTGTGCTTATTACTTTGCTTTAGAATTAGAATCTCTTGCTTATATGTCATTCCATTGCTGAATCATGAGCTCCTTGATGACAGGAACTATGCCATACTTATATTTATTTTACCCAGAAAACTGGAATCTGAAAATATTTAATATTTGTTGAATGACTACTAAAAGAAATTTTAAGTATTGTAAGCTTCATGAGGGTAGAGGTTCATTGCTGAATCCTCAATATCATAGTGTCTGATATAGAAATTGCTTAATTAATATTTGTTAAATGAATGGCATTTAAGACTTTTATAAGTGTACGGTTGTGTAAGTTATTTGGAACTCTGAATATACTTTCTTATTCCAACTCATAAAACTATTTTGCCACTATAGTTATGTAACATTGTAAATGCATTTTACTGTGTGCTGCTGTAGCTAACTACCATTTATGACTTAGTTTTAAGGAAGAAAATGTTTTTTAAGTTTAAATTCATGACGCTAAAAAGTTTTCTCTCTCTGAGTCCTACAGACTAGGAGGTAATTCTTCAGCAGTAACAATAGAGCAGGGTTTCTCATCCTTGGCACTATTGACATGTGGGGTTGGGCAGTTCTCTGTTGTAGAATTTCTTGTGCATTATAGAATGTTTAGAAGTATCTCAGGCCTCTGTCCACTAGATGCCAGTAGCATCCTGCAATTGTGACAATCAAAAATGCCTTCAGATATTGTCAGATTTCCCCCGAGGGGCAAATTTGCTGCCCTCGTTGAGACTCAGAGCAGTAGATACAGGGCTAAGTAATCTGCACAGGTAAAAGTACCGCCTTAGGTCAGTTTCTCTTCTACTTTGAATAAAGGACGCTGCCGTCTGTTTCCTTATGGAGATACAGGCACAGAGTCAGGATTTGGGCTCCTTTGTCTGAAATTACTGCTTAATGTGTTGAGTGTTGTTATGTCAAGGCCTAGAGGAAATAACAGATTGGACAGCTTTCTAAAATAATTTAAAAATTATCCTCTTTTTCCCCACTGAGTAGTGCTGTTACACTTCTTTTTTTTTCTGATCTTTCCAAAATCTTCCAACTGCTCTGCTTTAGTTCTCCCATGTCTGGAGCAGCATAGATTTGGGCAGCACATTGGTAGTAAATTGTCTCAACTGACTAGAAGCATTGGTTATAGCAGCATTTCTGCTATCAAGTTAATGAGTTACTCTATTGTGTAATTGTATTTATTTTATGATCACTATCCTAAAATCCAGGTACAAAGTCATTTATCACAAAGATTAGGTGTCAATATGATGGGATTGAAAAAACCTACAGAAATTTGACTAACAACTAAAAAAGTTTGCCCTAGTGATAGGGGACAAGTAACATCATTTTCATATATGGAAATTAACATAGTGTTATACTACAGTTTATTTCATGTATATAATGAATTCTAACTAATGTTAATGAAAGCTACCCATAGAATTTTAGCTTTAAATTATATTCTAATTTAATTAAAGTAGTGCTTCCAACTGATGTTACAAGGTCAGGTGCCTGATTTATTCAGCTCAAGTTCCCCTTGCTTTGTTCCTTGTTTTCCTAGGTTTCTTTTTTTGTTTTTGTTTTCTATTAGCCTTCATACTAGTCATGGTTCTCCAAAGAAACAGAAACAACAGGATGTGTATATAGGTATAGGTACAGATGGAGGTAGGTAGATTTATTTTAAGGAATTGGTTCACATTATTATGTAGGCTGGCAAGTCTGAATTTTGCAGGGCACTCCACGAGGCTAGAGACCCAGGGAAGGGTTGATGTAGCTTGAGTCCTAAGGCAGTATAGTATGGAGGCTGAATTCCTTCTTCTGGACTTAAGTCTTTTTCTCTTAAGGCCTTTAACTGATTAGATGAAGTCCACCTACATTATGGAGGATAATCTCCTTTACTCAGACTATTGATTTAAATGTTCATCACATCAAAAAAATACCTTCACAGAAACATCTAGGTTGGTGTTTGACCAAATGTCTGGGCACTGCAACCTAGCCAAGATGATGTAAAATTCACCATCACAGCTCTTTGAGAGTATTATGCTCATTAGAGTCATTTGAGCTTTCTTAAGAGTATTACGCTCATTAGAGTCATTTGAGCTTTCTTTTTCTTTTCTTTCTTCTTCTTCTTTTTTTTTTTAAATTTATCTTTAATGATTGTACATATTCATTGGGCACCAAGCTTACTGTCAGAGAGTATTATGCTCATTAGAGTCATTTGAGCTTTCTTTTTCTTTTCTTTCTTCTTCTTTTTTTTTTAAATTTATCTTTAATGATTGTACATATTCATTGGGCACCAAGCTTACTGTCAACACCTGTGTCCAAGGTGTGATGATCAGATCAATACTATCAGCATGCCTACTACCTCAAACTGCAATTATTCCCCATGTTGGTTGATTCCATGTCTTGGCTATTGTAAATAGAGCTTCAATTAAGATGGGAGTTTATGGGGCTGGCCCGGTGGCGCACTCNCAGCAGACTTTTATCCGAAAGAAACTGGAGGACAAATTGGAAAAAAAGATAAAAAAAAAAAAGCCCGTGGAGAATACCAAATTTCTATAGCACTTGCTGCTTCAGTTGCAATTTAAAATATCTTTATCATTTTCTTAATTTCTAAATAAAAAGAGGAAAAAATAAAGCCAATCAGACATACTGAGTGTGCTTATTACTTTGCTTTAGAATTAGAATCTCTTGCTTATATGTCATTCCATTGCTGAATCATGAGCTCCTTGATGACAGGAACTATGCCATACTTATATTTATTTTACCCAGAAAACTGGAATCTGAAAATATTTAATATTTGTTGAATGACTACTAAAAGAAATTTTAAGTATTGTAAGCTTCATGAGGGTAGAGGTTCATTGCTGAATCCTCAATATCATAGTGTCTGATATAGAAATTGCTTAATTAATATTTGTTAAATGAATGGCATTTAAGACTTTTATAAGTGTACGGTTGTGTAAGTTATTTGGAACTCTGAATATACTTTCTTATTCCAACTCATAAAACTATTTTGCCACTATAGTTATGTAACATTGTAAATGCATTTTACTGTGTGCTGCTGTAGCTAACTACCATTTATGACTTAGTTTTAAGGAAGAAAATGTTTTTTAAGTTTAAATTCATGACGCTAAAAAGTTTTCTCTCTCTGAGTCCTACAGACTAGGAGGTAATTCTTCAGCAGTAACAATAGAGCAGGGTTTCTCATCCTTGGCACTATTGACATGTGGGGTTGGGCAGTTCTCTGTTGTAGAATTTCTTGTGCATTATAGAATGTTTAGAAGTATCTCAGGCCTCTGTCCACTAGATGCCAGTAGCATCCTGCAATTGTGACAATCAAAAATGCCTTCAGATATTGTCAGATTTCCCCCGAGGGGCAAATTTGCTGCCCTCGTTGAGACTCAGAGCAGTAGATACAGGGCTAAGTAATCTGCACAGGTAAAAGTACCGCCTTAGGTCAGTTTCTCTTCTACTTTGAATAAAGGACGCTGCCGTCTGTTTCCTTATGGAGATACAGGCACAGAGTCAGGATTTGGGCTCCTTTGTCTGAAATTACTGCTTAATGTGTTGAGTGTTGTTATGTCAAGGCCTAGAGGAAATAACAGATTGGACAGCTTTCTAAAATAATTTAAAAATTATCCTCTTTTTCCCCACTGAGTAGTGCTGTTACACTTCTTTTTTTTTCTGATCTTTCCAAAATCTTCCAACTGCTCTGCTTTAGTTCTCCCATGTCTGGAGCAGCATAGATTTGGGCAGCACATTGGTAGTAAATTGTCTCAACTGACTAGAAGCATTGGTTATAGCAGCATTTCTGCTATCAAGTTAATGAGTTACTCTATTGTGTAATTGTATTTATTTTATGATCACTATCCTAAAATCCAGGTACAAAGTCATTTATCACAAAGATTAGGTGTCAATATGATGGGATTGAAAAAACCTACAGAAATTTGACTAACAACTAAAAAAGTTTGCCCTAGTGATAGGGGACAAGTAACATCATTTTCATATATGGAAATTAACATAGTGTTATACTACAGTTTATTTCATGTATATAATGAATTCTAACTAATGTTAATGAAAGCTACCCATAGAATTTTAGCTTTAAATTATATTCTAATTTAATTAAAGTAGTGCTTCCAACTGATGTTACAAGGTCAGGTGCCTGATTTATTCAGCTCAAGTTCCCCTTGCTTTGTTCCTTGTTTTCCTAGGTTTCTTTTTTTGTTTTTTTTTTTCTATTAGCCTTCATATTAGTCATGGTTCTCCAAAGAAACAGAAACAACAGGATGTGTATATAGGTATAGGTACAGATGGAGGTAGGTAGATTTATTTTAAGGAATTGGTTCACATTATTATGTAGGCTGGCAAGTCTGAATTTTGCAGGGCACTCCACGAGGCTAGAGACCCAGGGAAGGGTTGATGTAGCTTGAGTCCTAAGGCAGTATAGTATGGAGGCTGAATTCCTTCTTCTGGACTTAAGTCTTTTTCTCTTAAGGCCTTTAACTGATTAGATGAAGTCCACCTACATTATGGAGGATAATCTCCTTTACTCAGACTATTGATTTAAATGTTCATCACATC